ACGGGGACCCCTGGCAAACCGGGGGGGTTGGCAACCCTATCTGCTGAGTTACTCCTGTCTAAACTGATTCCAGTCGTAGCTTGGTTATGCTGTTGGGCCCAGGCCTCCTGTTGGATAAACTCGTGACAGCAGTGGCCAGGGTTGCCTTTCACCAGCTTTGGCTGGTGAGCCAGCTGCACTGTTCTTGGGCAGGAAAGATCTTGCCACTGTAGTACATGCCCTGGTAACATCTGGATTAGGTCAGTAGTGGAAAGTGCTGTCAAACTACAACCAATTTATGGTGACCCTGTAGGGTTTTCAAGACAAGAGACATTCAGAGGTGGTTTCCCCTTGCATGCCTCTGTATAGCGACCCTGGGCTTCTTTGGTGGTCTCCCATCCAAATATTAACCAAGGCTGACCCTGCTTAGCTTCTGAGATCTGATGAGATCAGCCTAGTCTGGGCCATTCAGTTAAGGGGTTGGGTTAGATTACTGCAGTGCATTCTCCATGGGGCTGTCCTTGAAGACTATTCAGAAGTTACAGTTGGTACACAATACTGTGGCCAAAATGTTGACTGGAGTGGGTCATAGGGACCATATCACTCTAGTCTTGTTATATTTGCTGCTGCCGGCCTCTATTTATGGTGCTGGTATTAAGCCATATATGTCTTGGGATGAGTATAGCTGCACCACCGTCTTCTCCCATATAAACCTGCCTGTCCACTCCGGTCATCTTTGGAGGCCCGGCTTCAATTTCCTCCACCATCTGAGGCTAGATAGGTGGTAGCCTGAAAAAAGGCCTTCTCGGTTGCCGTTTCAAACCTTCAGAACTCTCTCCCCAGGGAGATTCATCCCTCTATCATCATCTTCCACCAGTGGGTAAAGACTTGATTGTTTTGTTTGACGTGCTGGCAGTAACAGTTATTGGCCCTCCTCCCTTGTTACGTTGTTTGTGTGTTTATATATTTTTATTGAATTGTTGATTTTATATATACACAAGGGGCGGGGCCCACGATACTCACGGGGGGGAGGCAGAGGAAGCAGCAGGAGGAGGTAAGTACCCCCCCATCCCGCTGGTTCCCCTGTCTTCTCCACCCCCCCTTGCCTTTCCTCCCCCTTTCCTCCCCCCCGGCTCCTCGCCGTTCCCCCCCAGCCCCAAAGTGTGCGCCGAGCGGCATGCCGCTTGGCCCTC